CTCGTTGTGCAATAAAAATTAATCCGATCATTGTGCTACACCAGCAACAGACGAAATACACAATACTGTGTTAAAGTAGTGTGATGTAAATTTTTTTTTACCGGCATCCAGACGTGACGTTGAAAACGGATGAGTAAGTTCTGATAGTTACCGCAATAATATCATTGTAAAAGCCAAATGGCACTAGAGTAATTTTTAATGAGGTAAGACTATCTAGTTCAACTTACTATTATTCGACATAACAATTCGCATCCTGTTTTTTTCAGGAATAAATAAAGAAAAAAAAATATAACCGACTTGGAAATAATAAAACAATGATTTTTTAAGACCAGATATTTTTAATCGGATTACAACATTAAGACTATATATTTTAAATCAGTTATCCATTAGTAAAAAGAAGGGATCCAATGACTCGAAAAACATGTTGTACGAAGCAGGCAGAAAAAATCGACAATGAAAAAGCTCTTTGAGATCTGAAACTAAATTGATTTGATTTTTAAAGCGAGTCATAAAATACAATGTATAATAAATCCCCATGTATAAATTTATGTATATCTTTTACCAGTGGCGCATCTAATCTTCATTCAAAATATTCACCTTGTGTATTCTTTTATGTCACTAGCTCATGGAAGAAAAATCCTTTACACATCTATGGATGATGCTTTTATTGCTTAAAGAGCAATAATAATACTAAGTTGAGGGGTTCGAATGATATCGTTTTGTATGTGTCTCACAAATTCAGTCGAATAATGCGAGTATATATGTAAATAGATCTGACGTAAACCTCACCCTCAATACGTTAAAGCCAGAATAACTAGCGTCGTAACAATTTAGCAACATTCTGTCAGTGCCGCGCAAACATTTACGTATTATGTGTGTGTGTTGTGGAAATCATAATCAAAAATGCAACCATCAAAAGAGAGAGTGGCCATTACCAAACTTTGTATTCATCTAAACCTTTACGAGCTTGAGAGATTTACACTCAACCAGACTGTATTCTACTACAGTGTTGATGAACGGAAGTGCTTTTATGGTGAGCTCTCGAAACAATCTTGGCTAACCCTGTCCGTCCTTGGTCCGTACAACAATATAATGTGCGCTTATTTTGACGAGAGGGGCCTCTTGAAGAAAAAGGGGGGGGGGGGTATCCATAATGTAAGCCTCTCTGTGGTTTGTAAGGGTTTATGTATGAAATGGGCTTCATATCGGTAATAAAAGTGATTTTTTGTCATTGCAATGACTCATTAGCCAGGTTTCCATGAATATTCACGCTTCGGTAACTGTAAAATTTTTAATAAATCCAGAGCTTAAAAATAATTTCTTTTGTTATTGACTACGACGGTATTTTTTTTTTTTTTTTTTCAGCTTCCTACCACTGAAAATCCCACTAAATTATTAGTACATTGGGTTGCTAAGAATTTTTTAAATTTCTTTACTACTGCTATAGCTTCAGAATTGCTCGCACTTTCTTTAACACATTACTAATAGAAACTCTGAACTTGATGTTTTTTACTCGGTTTCTTATCAATGATACACCTAGAAAACAAGCGGAAATTTACTTGAAAGATATTTTGTACTTTGCTAGTAGTGTAGAATAAATTCATACAGTTTTTTAGTTACAACAAATGTTTTTCTAATTGGTAAAAAATTATGAAATCCATCAATCCATTCATACTTTATATATGTATGTCATATACATATATATTATGGACAAATAAGAGTGCGTAAATGAGATATGTAGATTTCATACGAAATTTCACATACAAGCAGCAAATAATAATAAAGATCTGAAACATTAAACAGTAGGTGCCAAAGTGCCATTACCGTCTTCCAACACATATTTTCGGGGCTTGACTCATGATTAACTCTTAGGGTTCTGCTGGTTTCATTTGTGATAAACGATGATAAAGTTATCCTTACCACCACTTTATAAAAAAGATAAAAAAAGATAGGCGAAAGTAAAGCTTTCTATGCTGTTACCGAGGCTGTTACTTAAATGCGTGCTTTGAAAAGAGCTGCACCTTTTAGAAAAGAAACGCATTAACCTCACGATTATTCCTTGGTTAACCCAAAAACGATTTTTTTTGGTATTCGTTTAAATTCTTCCTTATATACATGAAATTTAATCAACTGCTGGTAAGGTAGAACTTGTACATAGTCAATGCTTAATTTTGACCGTATACATGCACAGTTACTATTAAATGGTTAATTACTAGCTGTCGGTGCAACAGTGTTCCTTAATTGTTTTTAAAACTGAACGAGGGAGTAACAAGATATTCAATAAAACATCTCTGAAAAATTCATATTTAAAAAGTGTATTTTTTTTTTATTTTTTT